AGCCTTTGTGAGTATAGAGGAGGCTATGCCCGAGCATTGCCTGGGCGCTCGAGGTACAGCGTACTAGAATACTTGGGTAGTGTTGGGACCGGAGGGGCTTGGCAACGGGAGCTCGTGAGGGCGCGTGTATTGACAGTTCGTGGCGGCGCTGTAGTCGAGTGATCCAGAAAAAATAGCACAGCCCGCTTTTTTTTTCTTTTTTTCACTTTGAGCGATGCACGTGTCGGTACCACGATTTTGTACGCTCCGTTTCACCTTATGTTGTACCGCAGCGAAGGCTAGAAGCGCGAGCTAATAGCCTTGGCAGCTGCTTTTAGTGCACAAGAGCTTGTGCCGCCGAGATGTGTCCTAGAGCAAGGAGAACGCGCATGTAGCCTTTCCTGCGGTACAACACAAGGTAAAACACAGTTTTTTTGTTTTTTTATAGGGCACATAAAAAAAAATCGGTATCTTCAATTTTTTTTTAATTCTTGCGGCAGGCAAAGGGTTAATGAACGGTTTAATGGGCCATGTTGCAATTGCAGCTTTAGAGGGAGTCATTATTAAAGGCCAACCCAATTTAGAAAGTTCGCGAACAAGCAACGAACTTTGAGCGAAAGCAACAAGGCGCTCGTTTTTGTTGTGTTTGTCCGTCCCTTCTTGTTTTCCTCCTCAAGCTTTATTATCTCTACCAACCCGCTCGTTCTTTCCTGAGATATTCATCGCTAAAATTTTGCCTTTTTTCGTTTAATTAAAAAACCGCGCTCTGAGAGCGCGAATGAGGTTATTGACGCGTAGAAGAATGACACAGGTTGTTTCTGTACCCTCGTCACTAACTCGAAAGCGTGTCTTCGGTGGCCTCGCCGGCGCCACACATCAAGACGACTAAGTCACTATTCTACGTATTATTTTCACAACGCGGTTTCGGAATCAAGCGAAGAAAGGCAAACTTTTACGATAAATTTCGCGAACCTCGTTGCCTTTTCGAGAATTGTCAAAATTGTGCTTGCCTTTAATAATGACTCATGGTAAACTGCAATTGCACCGTGGCCAATTAAGCCGTTAATAAACAAAGTTAACTAACAGATTTTGGTTAATTATTAAACATTGCAACGGTTATTCACCCATTTATTGTCCACCGAGCCGAAGGACGGTCTCCACATATCTGCCACATCCTTTTTTTTGTAAAATATGTAAATAGCTGTAAAGAATAAAACAAAAACACCGTGTATGTTTGCGTGAACCAGATACGCCCCCTGTGGAAACACAGGGGGCGTATCCCCTGTGGTTCTTTGAAGACCCAGCTCAGGCGAGACTTATCTGGTTGTTAGGAATCAGCTGTCGGTTAAATGTATTGTTATGAGCGTGTAAGTTTCAGGTGGTTTACCCTCAAGAGGATAATGCGCTGCATATTGTAACCATGTATGCGCTGCACATTTTAACCATTATTTCAATGTCGTGCTGTAAACTATTACAACTTTTTCCTTGCCTGATCGACGTGTGCTCATGTTCTCTGCTCAAAATGATGTGAAATAGTTGCTTGTTTTCTTTGAATCTTATAAAGCAGTACTTGTTCAGCCCACGTTGCCTCAGTTCTTGGACTGAAGTGCAATGTTAAAACGGGTGATAAAAATTGTCACGGCTTATAAGCCCGTGGTCATTGGATGGTCGAGGCAGCCATGAAGAAATAGAAGATTCTCACCCCTTTGCGACCGTCGCTTGGGTGGTTCGTCGCATAAATGAACACAAGAATGAGTGGCAAGTAAAGCGAGCTGATTAAGGTCAAGAAAAAGAAGACGAACAGAAAAGAAGACAGCGAAGTTAACCTGGGGTATTAAAAATATACTAAAACAATCTCGGACTTTAGTAGGTACCGTTTCGTTGCATTATAAATTAAGATAGTAAAAAAACACTGCTTCTGAGTTTTAGATATCCCTTTCAAATATCGAATGTTTGGCCTTTGCGACCAAGGAAATGGGCATTTCATTTAAAATGCTCATATATCCGACAAACCGAAACCGCTTCTTTAAAGTCGCAATTGTTTTTATGTAAAGGAAGGGTAATGTAGCTTGTACCGTCCAATACATGCATTGAAGCACCATGTTGCTAACGATCGTGCCGCAGCGTAATTGATGCCGCGGTACGACCGCTGGCAGGTCGTAGCTGTATCGGAAATCCTATGTGCACTTCACCAAAGCGGCACCAAAGATTCATATTTTCGCGCGTGCAGCCGCGCATGCGCACACCTTCTGGATAAGGCGCCGGACACGACACGTTTCACGATCAATACCACGCGCTTCAGGCGAGCCCCTCCGGTCCCAACACTACCCGAGTATTCTAGTACACTGTACTCGAGGTGCACGAGACTCCTAAGCGTTGTCGGAGGTGCGAAGCTCGCGCTAGAGGCCAGACAGCTCAAGTTCCTCCCTTACCTTCTCAACTTGCAAGTGATTGGACTAGGAGGCCTTCATGTTTTCTTTGCTTGGGGTGATGACATCTCGGCATTTTGTTTCGAACGCTTATTTTTATTTTTTGTTCTGAAGCACGTGAAAGAGCGTGCCCCTGCACGCGCTTATGGCGCTGACTGTGCCACGGCGACATTTTGTTTCCGGCGATTTCTTTGCATTTTCCCTGTGAGCGCGTGCTATCGGCATCGGGTACTACAAACGACCCGATACCGAAACGAACCTTAAACAGAAAGCCATTGAGGCGCTCTAGATTGGACAGTCTGCTCTTCGAAAATGGGCGGCCCATTCCAACAGCAACTGACCACGGCATTTGTCGGTAATCAGACGAATGATAACAATGAGCGTTGCTCGATAGACCATGAGTACCGGCGTTTAGAGTAAGGCGGGGTAAAATGAGACACGGGGCAGAATGCATCATCGTTACTATAGCGCCACCTGTATTCGAATCTTGCAATGTAATTAACTTGATACTTGGCCGACATGTGCCAGCACTTCCCCGCTTTGCGTCATGTAAAATCTGCCGCGCTTCTTGAGAAGACGCTAGCGAAGAAACATGCACAGTTATTGTTATGAGTGGAGGAACCGCCAAATTGTGAAATTCTACACTTGCGTTCTTTCCGAGACGTTCACTCCAGTTCAGAACACCTACTGCACCTATATAAGTTCTTATTTTATTTGCAGCTCACGCTAGCTGTGAATACAATTTTATCACTCCAGGTTTTGTTGTTATGGCGATAAAATTTTTTAATATGAGTTAATGCAGGGGGCAAAACGAGCCAATATCACCATCAACAGGAGTATACTGGGTTTTGGAGGGTTTAGTATTTGCTGCCGAGAAGGCACGTAGCCAGGATTTTTTTTTTTTTTTCCGGGGGGGGGGGGGGGGGGGGGGATGCCATCCATGACAAAAAGCTGTATGAGAGGAAAGGGGAGAGAAGGTCCCAACAAAATGAAAGGATATTTTTTATTTTTTTTTTTTTTTTTTGGAGGGGGGGGGGGGGGGGAGCCGGGTTCCATGCTCCCTCCCCCACCCCTTGGCTAAGTGCCTGCTCCCGAGCTTTTCTTTATTCCCTTATCGTCTAGGATGGTCAGAGGCTTCATGATGCGAAAATGACACGATCAACGTACTTTAAAGTGTGGATATTCAGCTTCAGTTTATTCGCGCTGCAATCACACTTTCCAACCAGCAAAGAAAAAACAAAAAAATCTTGTTTAGCGAAGGAGATGGCATGGAGACCGTTCGTTAACTGAATAAGTCGTAAAGTGAAAGCGTTCTGCAAACCGTGCGAAAAGCGCCAAATCTGCCTGACAGTGTCTGGTGTGCAAAAAAATATGAAGCGAAACAGAGCCCGGTTTTGTGTGGACCAAATGCACGGCGTGCAAAGTGGGGGATCATGAAGATTGCGTAGGATCATAAGGAATATTCTTCAAATCTACCAAAGCTTACTAGCTGTATCGTTCTGCCCCGGGTGATGGGGTAAAATGAGAAATTTGTGACATTTTATTGTCAATGAATATATTTTAGTTCTACTAACTCTACTCCAGTCAGTTGTACTGACCGCAATTTCAAGGCGTCAAAGACTTTCATATAATTGTTTTCTCAATTCCCAATAAGAATAAAACAATATATCTTTCTCACTTTTGTCTATTTTTACTACGCCTTACACTACATACCGGCCATAACTATGAGGTGTGATGAGGCGTTGGTGTCTTTTTGTTTCGTGTACTGCTTTGTTACTCTTTTTTATCTCATTGCAATCCGTCATGTTATGATGAGCTACTGATCATATAACGTCTCTTACTGACCATATAACGTCCCTCTCTTTATCTAACCTACCTAGCTAGCTTACAGTGTTATAATTGTGTTTACTGTTCTATTTGTTTTTGTTCTATTGCCACCCCCTTGTATAATGCCCCACGGGCCCTCAAGGAAAATAAATGATGATGATGACGGTGTGTTCCGCATGTCTCCTACTCTTGACAGTTGAGCTACCTTCGCATTTTTGAGTTGTTCATTGTGCTTTAACTATAAGGTGAGCCATTGCGTCCTATAGTAATATGACCTTTTCATTTGTTTCATTACATGTCTTCAGTCCATTTTACTTAGTCGTGGACCATCTTGGTAATATATACCAGTAAATTATCATCACCTGGCCCATAAGAAAAAGCCCTTATGATAGTCTTGCAGACGCGTACACTCGTGCTTGAAGTGTGCACGTGCCAAAACGGTTGGACATCACATATCTCTTGAAGAGATATTTGACCCACGATAGCCATATGTAGTATTGCGAACACTATGCGCTGAAACAGTTTTTCAAGATCCATTGGCGCTCCTGCCAGTTTTTAAGAGAGAGCTGTGATCTGAACTAGGGATGGAATGCGAAGTTGAGGTTCAATTCTTCAGGCTATTTGACAAATTGTCAAGCTCGCTTGCAACGTTGCGTTAATTGCATTATCATATAATAGAGCTTGTGCAGAGCACAAGTGGAGAAAAATGGAATGTGTTTCCCCTACTATTTTCCGCGGCGGTACTTCCATATAACTCATACTCACAACTGAAGGGCACCTTGTGTTGCCGTCCGGGTCAGTCATGGTACCGCCCCAAAACACCGGCAGCTGGTCCGCCGGGATTTCCGCCAGGAGGTCCTCCTTCCAGCCTTCTACAATTTAAATTAGAGACAATATATTATTTTTTTGCAAATTATATCAATATGTCCAAACTTGTGCGCTCAGCTTGGCGGTCGGGGAAACGATGGGATTCTGCGTTTTATTTATTTATTTTTTTTTCTCTAAGAAGAGGGAAGGATGAAATTTGAGATAACTTTTTTTTTTATTGAGTTACATTCACACCGAAAAATTCCAAGATCAGGAAACAGCACCAAGTCCACAAAAAATTATAGGCTTATGCACCGTAGCCTAAGAGAGGACCGGCACTTGATTTTTAAACGTTAACATTACACAGCTGCACAAACTGGATACTTCTAATGGCGTTGCATAATATGGATGTTTTCTTCGTAAATGATAAACCCATATCCCAAAGACACTCGCCAACCATCAGGGTACTATCGCGGACAAACACCGCTTCGGCCTGTGCACGGTACTAGCTGCGCCGCCTGTCGCATCGCTCCCTAAACACGGCGCACCCTGAGGCCGAGATAAATTCTCGCTTCCGCTCACTGCGCCGTTGCGCTCTTCCGGCCGTCTGCTAGCGAAAATATTGGTCGGCGGAACCACCATCACGATGCGTGTGCCGTGTAGCCCGATGTTCACGTTTTCAGCTGACGTGCATTTCAGTGCATTTCAAGAAAGCGCCAAAAGTGGAAAATGCGTTGTCACGCTCGTATCTCCTCGAGGGGCAGTGCCTGACGAAGCTGCCTTGGCCCCCAAAAGGAGCCGATCTGAATATCATCGAAAACGTTTGGAGGCGCATCAAAGTAGCCATGTCACGGCGTCTCCTCCACCGCGCCACTGCCCACAAATTGTGGAAAGCAATGAGAGGTGAATGGGGAGTGGCTTCGGGGCTGAGCCAGACTTCGTGGCCGCGCTTTTTGATTTCTTACCAGACAGGATGAGACTCGAGGTCGCGGGTCATGGGAGATTTATGCGGCACTAAATGATTTACTAAGTTTTACTGCGCCCCAGGACCCCCTGAACCGGACTTCTGCCGACTGAAACGAAGCTTGACGCGAAGTTTGCGACACGCAGTTTGACGCCGTTAACCACGAATATTTTTGTGTAGTGCCTCCTTGATCCCAATCTTCTTGTATAGTGCAGCTGAACTTCCACGCCGACTATTAATTTTTTGTTTCTGACATTCTCCTCTGCAAATATTTTTTCGATTAAGTTTGAATCTCCTCCTCCCAGCAAATATATGACTGTTTGTTGCACTTTCTTAAGACTAGGAATTTGTAAACAAAAAAAAACTGGTGTCTTGTCAGCAACTTGTTTTGTTGGAAACAAACACGTGGGCCCAGTAATACAAAAAAAAAATCTTTTTGAACCTCTTCAAAGCAATCAAGGTTACAAAACCTTCTTAGTAGCATGTATGCTTCCCATTTTTTTAAGCATATGTGATGAATGAAAAAGAAAAAGAAGTAAATACCTTGGAGCCAGGCTAATTCCGGCTTACAGATTTTGGCCTACATTTTATTATGTCCTACCTTGTGCATGCCCCTATAATCAAACAAGAACAACCTAGGCCACGTCTTCTGGTGTGACTTTCAAGAACGATAATCGCAGCTGAAATTTAAGACACTTCAATATTTTTTCTTCACCAGTCAGCGTTTTTTTCCATGGGATTCTGCGCGGTAGAGTAAAGTAATCAATTACAAAAGAGGGACGACAAGTGTAATATTTTGTTCCATCCCCGCCGCCCTACCACACACACGCCCGCTGTCGCACAAGCCGTCTCGCTTGCAGACGGCCGGAAGAGTGCAGTGGCGCCGCGAGCTCAAGTGAGAATTTATCTCGCACTCAGGGTGCGCCAAGTGTGCGGAGCAAGGCGACAGGCGGCGCAGGTGGTACAGTGCGCCTCTCGGAGCGCTGTTTCACCTCATATTGTCCGCGATAGTACATTGTTTGCTTTTTGTTATACTTCAATTAAAATAATGTATTTCTGCAAAGTATGTTTTAAATTCAAACGTGATAGTCTTTTTACGCACGCATAAAAAAATGACGAATTTTTGCTACGTGGAGACAATGCAACGTTAGGCGGTAACGGCGCTACTTAATCTAGCAGTCGCTTGCTATCCGAGTCTTCATTTTCGGCCAGTATCGCCCGCCCGCCCGCTTCCCTATCTTGCAATGTCATGCTCCATCGAAAAGCGAGGGTTCGTTATCGCCTGGCTGCGCGCGCGCTCTACGCTTCTTTGTTTTTTACGACATCGAGAAGGGGGGCGGGCGGGCGGGCGAGACTGGGCAATTGTCTGGCCCTGATTCCGTGCTTCGGCCGTCGAAGGGCAGGACAGCTACCGCCAAGATGCGCTTGGATAAGATTCCGAAACCAGAGTACGCGTCAAAATTGAAGGGGTTTTCAAAACATGGCAAAATGCTCGGCATGCTTTATGCTTGTTTAAAATTGTTGATATAGGGGATAATGGTGATGCTCAGAAAGTTTTCAATTAAAACTAGGGCCGTATAATAAACAAACAAAATGTTACGTTGTTAAAAACAAAAAACGACATTTTCTAAACGTTTTTGTTTTTTTCTAAATAGGTTCTTGGGCCTATTTAGAAAAAAATAGTCATGAACCTCTTTTCTGTGCGATGCTTAGTTTTTGCACGAGCGATGTGGCCTGCGTTTTTCTAGAACACCCTCTATATACGTGGTCAGGATCTCGATGAATAGATGGGTTTAATACAATGAAGAGAAATTGACTGTGATGGTGTCGCCAGTACGATAGTTGGAGCAACCGTCCGAGCACACCTAGCTCTTTATCGTTATCCAAAAAAGAATTGCAGTTTCTTGGCCAAGCATGACTAGTTTCGGGTGGGTGCCGATGAATGATGTAGGAAATTTAGCCTTTTTATGTTTTTTTAAAGATTTTTACGATGTGTATTCTGATATCTTCCTAACTTGTTTGTGTTGTTGCCGGTAATATATACCAAGCTGCAGCGGAAATCAAGTTCACTAGTAAGTAACGCTGAGTCTGTGTCTTCTGTGTCCGTCGTCTTGTTGCGCTTTTTAACCATTACACCTCGAGCGTTTCCGCTGCAGTACGGGATGCCTTTCTGGCCGAGCCTCACTTCGTCCTTCCTAACAGCTATCTGCCCGTTGAAGAAGGGCCGGTCCGCCGCCCAAGCAGCGAGGGGACTTGGCGGTGGTAGCGTCTCAGTCGGGCGATGCGGACGACATCCCCAGCTTTAGAGCGGTTGTTCCGGGGCGGAATGACGTTTTGATAACATAGACCCCGTTATTATGGATACCCCACCCGCTATATGAACACGGTTTTCGGGAACAAACTGGGAAACTACATGCATTTTTGCGTCGTTATGATGGACAATTTTTGGGGGGAACCGAGGTACCCATATTAAGGAGAGATCACGGTACTCAAAGACTGCGTTATTTTTGCATGTTTTACGATAGCAGAATGTTGTGATTCACCAAGAGAAAATAAAAAAGCAGTCTTCCTGAAAGTGATTCCCCTGGGGAACCATGTAACAAAAAAAAAATCAATAGAAATAAAAAAGCTTCGCTCTAATTCCGTACGCCAAAGTTCATTCAACGTCCACTCCCCTTGATCCAAGTGCAAAAGTTCCAACACGAGCGGTACAGCTTCGACCCTCATCCCTTTTAAATGACCGCCGCGGCCATGACCGACCAAAGCACTGAATATTCAGTTTTATCTTACTAGATTGTTGTCTCTGTCGTTCTTGGTGTTAAACGGCTTTGTTTATTGGCCTTGTTTTATTTGAAAGATGGGTATCTAAAGCTGGTGTAATGGCCGGAGTTTCCCATCAGTGCAACCGGAGCCTCAGTGGTCGCCCGTCCTTGCACATCGGCGGCGATATGCAACTTATCGTTCGTCAACAATGTCATTGGCGCATGGCCCAGAAATAAACTGGGTCGCGCCGAGGCCAATCGCAGGACGTCGAGGCTTTCTTTAAAAAACTGGACCGGGCGAATGTAAGATATGTAGGCCGCCCTTCGGGAAAGGAAAATAACTACCGGTGTTTCTTTACCAGAAGATATTAGCTAAATCTACACGTGTTATATATGCGTCGTGGAGAGAGAGAGAGAAAAAAAAACGTTTCTAGGCGAAATAGCAAGTGTTGGGTGCAGGTCGTTTTGTGTACCGTTTTAATAGCTTGTGGAAATCATGGGGGAACATTGATAGCGCAATTCGGAGACGTCTTACAATTTTGTTTTAGTTTTTAAATTTTACAAAAATACGAAGCTTGTTTGAGAGAGTGTCCAAATGAAGTCCCTTTTGGGAAACTTTCGGTGATACTTTAGTTAGCGCCGGAATAAAAAAAAATAGTGCACTTGTGTGAGAATATGTTTTAACAATCCTGCAATGGCCTTCAAGCAGAGCCGATAGTATTCATAAACAAAAGAATGCATGCTTGAATGAATAAATAAACACAGTTCCTCATGAACTGGAGGAGGCAATGTACAACGTCGATTTTATATAGTCATTTAACTTACCAGTCTAATATTTAAGGCGGTTCGCATTTATAGCCACAATTCAGTGTATGGTGAGGAAAAATAAGGTGATCATTGACGCGGCAAACACCTTAACTGTTGTTCTAGCTCGCTGTTAAAATGGCAAGTCGAAAAAGCGACTATTTACACCCATATAGATACAAAACAAATAAATACATATCGTACACATAGCTGAGAACATATATGGGTTGAGGTTAAGTTAAAAGTTTCTGTTTTCAAGATTTATTTTCCTTCACCAATAATTGTTTTTTCGGTGCATGTTTTGGGCGGATCCGAAAAATAAATATGGGTTTATAGTGACATACCTTGAAGGAATTCAAACACGGGCATGGGATTCACCAACCCGCAGGGAACATAGGCGAGATCAAAATACTTTGAAGATGTCCCAGTACCAATAAGAGGAGGAAACAAGATAAGAGTTATTGCCACGCGCGTCGCCCAGCGAGCGCGAGTGTGGCCGATTGGTTACCGTGCTTGGCTATCGCGCGAAGGCGCT